CCTAAAAGATTGAACTTGAAGATCGAGTGGATTTCAAAGGCAAAGCAAAACTAAGAGCACTAGTTGTTCAACATATATAGGTCAAGAGAGAAATATTAGATGAATCGAATTCCTTTTCAAAGGAAACAAATGCTAAGATTTGAAATGCATGAAATGGAAGGGAAGATTCGATCAGACAAAGAGGAGGAAACTAAGTGGAGGTCCGAACCGACTAATGTTGAAGAATCAACGAATGACTTCCTTCCAGGTCCGTTTCTGACATTTTTAGGCCCTGGGCGAGATGTAAAAAGGGGTCCTCGATATGTACGATATTTTTTCAATATATTGATTTTATCATCCAAAATAATATTGAATTCATATAAAACCATTTTTTCGAGTATTCCTGGATGCAAAATCAATCAATACTTATTTCTAAATTAATATTATCTACTAGAACATTTTTATGTAGTATCAGTAATTTATTTCATCATCAAAAACATCGTATGATATAGTTTTGGTACATAGAATGATATCATTTGGAGTCACAAAGTCGATTATTCTGATTTCCAAGTTACACTATGTAAATCAATGTAAATAGATTGGTTTTCCATGTCATCTCATGTTAATGTTTTTTAACATCATTTTAAACTTTTATATCATGTTTTCGAATTTGGAAAGATTAACATCATTTTAAACTTTTATACTATGTTTTCGAATTTGAGAAGATTAACACAATTTCAAACTTTTATATTATGTTTTTGAATTTAGGAAGGAAAGAAAGAATGAGAAAGGAAATTAAAAATAAAAGGAAAGAATAAAAATAAAGTTTTTTATTTGTGTTTTTATTAGAGAAGAGAGAGGAAGGAAAAATAATGAAATAAAAATGAATTTTGATATAATTTTTTTCTTTCCCTAAAAAAATCTCGAGAACAAAATATTTTTCTTCCCCAATTACTTTCCTCTCTTTCCTACGTAAAAGAAGATTCAAGAACATAGAGTTAGTGTTAAAACAAACTTTTCTGAAATCATCGATTATATAAATTAAAAAAACTTATGTTGGGGATTATTTGAGATCTTATTCTTCTTTTAGAAATAAAATAGTACATAAGATTTATACACTAAATATTAGATAATAAAGAACAATTATGAAAAAACAATTATAGTTTTATTATTCTAAATATATATATATATATATATATATATATCTATACTATATTATAAAGCATTTGACTAAAACTCTTAAAAACTCTTAAACTCTTAAAACTCTTAAAACTCTTAAAAACTCTTAAACCCGTTCATTCCTATCCGATTTCATCCCATATCTGAATTCGTGTAACTAACTGCAAATAAACACAATCAAATACAGGATAAACATCTCATTTTAAATATAAAAAATCTAAAATATAATTAAGATAATCATTAAGTTCTAACAGAATACTTAA